CCTACCTTCTTCCCCCGAATACAACGTACGGTAATTATAGCTGTATTTGGGGTATCTTTCAGTCTAAATACAGCCATAATGACCGTACGTTGTATTCGGGGGAAGAAGGTAGCTTTTGGGAATGACAGGTACAGGAAACAAGGAGGGGATTGGGGTTCCTTCCCCTTCTCATCATCATACGTCCACTAAATTTGAGGTTCTCGTGCAGGTTTGTAGAGAGTGATACCATTTTTTTCAAATTTTTTGTTAATTTTGGGCTTGATGATGATGGCAGTGGTGATGGCGATGCGGGTGGGTAGACGCTATAACCATGATGGTGATCTCGATGCAATACGAGGAACGTGCAAATCAGATACAGGAATTCCACACATTCATATCTGTACTAACACTGCCCACTTCAGAGCTGCAGTGATTTCCCCGACACGGTGCTCGCTTGCCAGGGGCCATACAGCGAGTGCTTTGCGCAGAGGATGGACAGTCTAACTTGGTGGCTGCGCTGACAGCGCTGACTGCCCACTCAATCTGTATGGATTGCTGGTCGCTTGCTCATTTGTCAATTGTCTGAGCACAGGGAGTAGCAGCCTTCAGAACGTCCACACACTGTGGCCCCACTGGGCCTGGTTGCTTGAGGGGAACCTGCACCTAACGTCTTCCCCGAATAAAACGTCCGGTCATTCTGCCTGCATTTGGCACGACTTTCAGTCCAGATGCAGCGAAAATGACAGTACGGTCTATTCGGGTGAAGAGGGTAGTAATGTGAAAGCTGTGGTTCCAGCAGAGATTCACACTGGCATAGTAGACGACATGCATGCTGCCGAAATGCCAACCGTGGATGACTGCTGTAGCCCGACCGTCGCTGCTGCAGAATGCACTCTACCACACATTCAAGAGCAACTGTGGTTTGTTCCTGCATGTGATTGGCAAGGAAGAGAACTGAGTTAGTGACCTGACTGGGAGGCTTGTAGCCTAACAGCTCTTTCTCCCACTGATTCTCCCCTCGCTGATTCCCCATCCCCTCCACCCTCACCCGCACCCCGTACTTCGCCATCCTCCCTGTCTACTGCCTCCTCTTCCTCCTCCTTGCCCATGATCCTCTTCTGTTCATGATGCAATGACACCTCTGAGACTATATCATCCATCATAACTCAAGAAGAAGTGGAATGATGGAAGAAGAAGAAGAAGAAGCAGACACACACACACACACACACACACACACACACACAGAGAGAGAGAGAGAGAGAGAGAGAGAGAGAGAGAGAGAGAGAGAGAGAGAGAGAGA